AGTCTTCCCTTCCTATATCCGGCCATCCACTGGTGGGCTACCTACTTAGTGCTGTTAGCTCTTCATCCAAGCTAAGGAAAATTCTTTGCATTGGGCACAAGCTCTGAATAAAGAAGCTTGGTGGATCTGAGAAAGGTTACCTTGTGTAATAAGGGAGAGAAATCCACATCAGTATCTTCATTTCACAGATAGCTGAACTTATAGTTCAACATAGAAGGAACTCTAATATAGGGCAGTACTGAAACTTGCTCTAAACTGAATAATAAGATATTAGGGGAACTTGGAATAGAATTCAGATCTCCTCAGCCCCAGCCATGTGATTTGTCCTCTAATGCCATTTACAAGCTGAATATGGAATAAATTTTCATGGGTACAAATGGTAATCTTTTATCTGGACCTCTAATTCTATAAGATTAAAAGATGATGATGTTAGGGACTTAGAACAGAGAGCCATTGTTACTCAGCTCTATATCTCTGCTGTCCTAGTCTCCAGTTCTCAATATACTTATTCATTTTTTTCTCATTTAGAGACTACAGGGAACTGACAAAGTTGGCAAGCAGATATATTTTGAAAAACAAAAACTTACTGAGCTTCTCATCAAAATATGGGTATCAGTGTATAAGGAGAATGGAATGGGTGACCCTTGGACCCAGAACACAGAATAGCACCACATTACATATACTTCAAAGGTGTTTCCATATACCCATTGTATATACAGAACCCAATCTTAACTCACAGAGGAAGAACTGATGGAGTCTGAGTGCAGATTGAAGCATACTTTTTTATTTTATTATTTTAGGATTGTTTTTGGTCTATACTTTCTTTTGCAACATGGTTAATATGGAAATGTTTGCATGACCATGTATAATGCATGTCAAAGAGTATAATGTATAATCTATATCAAAGTGCTTGCCCTCTCAAGGAGAGGAGAAGGCAGGGAAAGAATTTTGAACTCACAACTTTAAAAAATAAACATTAAAATTTTTGTTTACATGTCATTGAGGAAAAAAATAAAAAACAAATGTAAAAAAAATAGAAAACAGAAAGAGAAAAAGACTATGCCTCTCAGCTTTCTGGGACATAATATATAGGCCTGTGACATAAATATGGGTTCACAAGATAATACCTTTACAGCTACAAGAGACATTAGAGGCTGAGTCCAACCCCCTCATTTGACAGATTAGGAAACAAATTGTAAGTGATTTGCCCACAGTCACATAGTAATTATCTAAGACAGGATTTGAACACAGGTCATCTTGACTCCAAGTGAGTACTCTATCCACCATAAATCACAATGTCTATAAGCAGCTGTGAGCAGATATGTGCCCCTAAAGCCTCAGATACACACCTCATTCCCCTTGGCCAGCCTTCTCAAATGCTAACACCTAGGTTTGAAAACCGGAAAGCAGTTTAGATGATGATGATAATAATTATGATAATCATCAACAGCAGCAGTAATAACAAGCATTTATTAAGTACCTACTATGTTCCAAGCACCATACAAAGAAAGACAAAAATATAGTTCTTACCCTCAAGGAGCTCACAATCTAATGGGAGAAATGGAATACAAACAACTATCTGCAAATAAGATATAATGGATATATAATATATTAATATAGTACACATACACAAGATATATGTATACATAATATACACATGTATTCTGTTTATATGTGTATATATGTCAATAATCATACATATTTATAAATACACATATAGAAACGTGAGGTAATCTAAGAGAAAAAATACTAACAGTGGGTGGAAGGGTGAACGGAGGGGAAACCAGGCAAAGCCTCCTGCAGATGACAAAATACGAACTCAATCTTGAAGGAAGTCAAGGAAGCCAGGAGGCAGAGAATTCCAGACAGAGGGAGGAGATGGAGTGGTGTGGGGAAGGAACAGCAACAAAGCCAAGGCTGCTGAATAATAAAATGTATGGAAGAGAGTAAAATATAATAAGAATGGGAATGTAGGAAAAGGCTAGGTTATGAAGAGCTTTAAAAACTAAACAGAGGACTTTGTGTTTGGTCCTGAAGATAACAGGAAGCCATTGGAGTTTATAGCTGTGCTTTAGGAAGAATACTCTGATATCTGAGTAGAGGATAGACTAGAGTGGGAAGAGACTCAGAGGCTGGGAGACCAATCAGGAGGCTATTGCAATAGTCAAGGCATAAGGTGATGAGAGTGTAGGCATGGGGGTGGTGGCTGTGTGAGTGAAGAGAAGGGTCCAACTATGAGAGATGTAGAGATAGAAATGACAAGACTTAGACAAGGATTAGGTGTGTAAAGTGAATGGAAGTGAGGAGCTAAAGATAACACTAAAGTTATGAGTCTGGGTGACTGAAAGGATAGTGGTGTCCTTGACACTAAGAGGGAAGTTTGAAATAGTATAGTTTGGAGGAAAAGATAAGTTCTGTCTTAGAAATGTTGAGTTTGATGTATGTATGGAAAATCCAGTTCAATGTTCAACAGTTAGCTGGTGATGTAAGATAGGAGGTCAGGAGAGACATTAAGGCCAGAGAGAGTTAAGAATTAACTCCATAGTGATGACAATTGAATCCACAAGAGTTGATGAGATTGCCAGTTGATGCAGTATAAACGAATAAGAGAAGAGGGCCCAGGACAGAACGTAGAGAAGGATGACCATGGTTAGTAAACATGACCTGGATGAAGATTCAGTAAAGGGATCTGAGAAGGAGCGGTCATACTGGTAGGAGAAGAACCAAGAGAGAAATGTATCATAAAAACCTAGAGAAGAATATTGAGGAAAAGTGGGTGATTGACAGTGTCAAAGATTGTCAAGAAGTGTGAGGATCAAAAAGAGTTCATTAAATTTGGCAATTAAAGATTATTAGTAACTTTGGAAGAAGTTTCCACTATATGATAAGATCTGAAGCCAGTGTACAGAAGGGTTAAAAAAAAGAGTGAGAGGAGAGGAAGTGGATGAATTGATTGCCTATGACTTTCTCAAGAAGTTAAAACACGAAAGAACGGATAGGTGATAGTAAAAAAGACAGATGGAAAGATAAACAGATAAATGATTAGATCAACTGGGAGATTTTTAAAGAAGAGGGAGACATAAATGTGTTTACAATCAACAAGGAAAAAGCCAGTACGTATGGAGGGCTTGTGTGTAGTTGCTGTGGTTTGTCCTTCACTCCCTAAGAAGACCGTGCCACCAGGGAGATGGTGACATGACTTGCAATTGACTTTGATTTGAGTGAAGGAGGGCTGTGCAAAGTCACCAGCCTCATTTTCTCCTCCAGAGCCATCTGGGTCCAGTGGCCAGATACCTATCAAGATGACTGAAGATGGCCCAGGATGCAGTGGGAGATTTTAAGCTAAGGTATTTTCAGGTTTTCACTTTGAGTGAGGTAACACCCATTCAGTGAATAGGCCTCATTAAGAAGTGAGTCAAGGGATGGCCCATTTAATAATAATAAAAAAAAATCAATTGGGAGGGGAAGACCCTCAGGGTTGCTGGCCGAAAGAGAAACAGTTATTATTTACATTCATTCTGAGCCAGGAGGGCCCAAAAAATAACCATTAAGTGGTACTTAGGCAAAGACCTATTGTTGTCCAATCCATGAGATCCAGAGTGAATTGGGCTTAAGGCTTGGTCTTTGAGAAAGAAATCTAGCCAGTAAACCCCAAGTTAACTAAGTAGGTTTCAGCCATCAATGTTTACCTTCCTTTGGGCAGAACACCCTCAGGTAAGGGGAGAGGAGAGGAGAGGAGGGGAGGGGAGAAATTGAAGATTAGAGAGAGTGAGGATGGGAGAGAGAGCAATCTGCTGGAAAAGATGGAATAAATGGAATCATTTGTGTGTATAGAAGGGTTTGCCTTGGCAAGGAGAAGGGTCAATTTTTCAAGTGAAATATGGATGAGTGAGCAGATAGTGAAGGAATTTATCTGAGTCATGAGGTGGAGGAGTTAAGAGGAAGTTCTTGGTAAATGGTCTCAATTTTTTCCTGGAAGTATGAAAAAAAGTCTTCAGATAAGAAGTAGGGGTAACATAGGAGGCTGGAAGACAGATAAAAAGCTACTGTAGTAAATGAGATAGTGAATAGATTAGGGAGGTGTAAAAGAATTGCTTTGCTGCATTGAGTACTCAATTGAGATTATGAAACATAAATTTGGGATATAGTATGGTTTTGTGATTTTTCTACAGCTCTATTCAGTAGTACATGAACAAGAGTAAAGGCAGCAGATGGTGGTGGTAATCTAAAGTTGAAGTTTGGCAAGGCATGATTGAAAACAGGATGGGGAGAGGCAAGGAACTCAAGGGTAGAGGATAGTGGAGTTATACTGGTCCACCAAGTGATCACGATATTGAAGGGAAGAAAGTGTAGCCAGTGAAGAAGAGAGAGGGGTTGGTGCTGATAATGAGAATAAAGAGTTAAGTTTCATAAAGCAGAAGGAAATATAGATAATTAAAAGATTATGATCAAATAAAAGAATTTCCAAGTTCATGAACATGGAAATGGAATGCTTATAGATGGTCATAAGAAAAGAGTATGATCATCTCTGTGTGTAGCTGAGATGGAAGGGTATGGAAAAGCAGGTCCTGGGAAACGAATAAATTGAGGAATCATGAAAATAAGTTGTATAGGCTGTCTGAGGAAACATTAGTGTTCATGTTAAAGTCTTGTAGCATGAGGACATCTGGTAGAGAACATCTGTCCATTTCTCTCATTTTGCATATGAAGAAACTGAAGACAAGAAAGGTGTAAATGACTTGCCTAATGTCACACACATAGCAAGCAGCAGAGCTTGAAGCCTGAAGCCATGGCCTCAGATTCTAAGTCCACTATTTCCACTATTCCATACTACTATTGTAACATATATTTTTTGTATTCAAGTCATATTTTTGTATTCAGCTCTCTGTATTTCTTTCCTACAAAGCATATCCTTTTGAGAAGTATTCTTCTTTTATCACGGGAGTGCACCTGGCATGTCATGCAGCTAGAGTACCACTTGAATGGTTTATGTATAGGCATCAGGTGTTTAGGGAACACTGTGTATAAACACAAAAGTATCTGGCTGAGTCTCCGGGTTGAGTTCCTGTGATGAACAGGAAGCTATGTTGCCTTTTTTCATCCAACTGAGCAGTTATCTTCCCCTGACGCTTCAGTTCTTTCCCCTTAGACAATGCCATCAAGAAGGTAAGACCTTTCCCAGGATCCTGTCTATACCACTGTAGTATGGGCAAACTGGTCGAGGAACTGCAGTTCGTGATAAAGTCTTCTCCTTCCTGAATGCTTATGGACTGAGGACTCTGATTCAGCTGTTGAGTACTCACCCCTGTTAAGAAAAAAATAATGGAAATACAAGAGATTCTTAACAGATTAGTATTTTCACAATGGTAACTAATTCTATTTTTCTCTGCCACTCTCTGTGCTCAGCCTCCCCCATCAACATCAATATTGTCCAATGTTTTCCAAGCTCCTATAGAATCCTGGGTGACTAACATAACGAACAATATTTACAGACCATACCTTCAGACAACAACTATAATTCTTCAAATACTTCACTTGCCTTTAGAACCATCATTTTCTTAAACCACTTTGATTTGAATCTCACAATTCCCCTATGCATTATTACCCCCAGTTTACAGATGGGGAAAAAACAGTGCATTGAGATATTAAATGACTTGTCTAAGGTTGAAGAGTACATTGGTGATGGAGCCAGGAATCCCAATCTTTTCCTTTAAATCACATTCTGTGACTGAATCAGGCTATCTACCCAAACTCAGAGAACAGTTGTATCCATAGAATGACTGAAATAGACTCCCAATCCTTTCCATTAGATCACACCCTGTGACTGAATCAGGATATCTAACCAAACTCACAGGCCAGCTGTAGCCATAGAATGACTAACAAAGTTGCCAGTAGCATCTTCGTTGGTTGTCCTTCTATCAATGATAGCTGAAACTGACAGGTCTTCTACAGGCTTCTCCCACTAAAGTGTGTTACCTGTTGCTACCGTCTCTGTTAGAATGGGCTGGGTCCTAGGCCAATCAAAAACCAGATCTGTTTTCCCTAAGTATATGAAAGTTGAGGTAAACATGAAAAGCATTTTGTCATAAACACTGCACCCTAGTGTCCAGTTGTAGAAATGCTTACATCATCCTTTTTGCTTTTCCTTAGATCCAATCTTCCACCCAGAAGCATGTATTATTTAAGGGTCAAGAATCAATCAAAAAGCATTTATTTTTTTTTTAAGTTCCTTTATTAAAATTTATTTTTAATTAATTAATTTATTTTTAGTTTTCAGCATTCACTTCCATAAGCTTTTTCTCCCCATATTTCTCTCCATAATTTGCTTCCCCTCCCTCTCCCTCCCTCCTCCCCAAGACTGCATGCATTCTGATATAGACTCTACATATACATTCCTATTAAACATATTTTCACATTAGTTAGCCCATAAAGAAGAATTAGAACCAATAGGAGGAACCACAAGGAAAACAAAACAAAACAAAACAGAAAAAAAGAGCAAATAGTATGCTTCAATCTGCAACCACACTCCACAGTTCCCTCTCTGGATGTGTATAGCACTTTCCACCATGAGTCCCTTGGAGATGTCTTAGATCCTTGTATTGCTGAGACGGGTTAAGTCTATCAGTATTAGTCGTCGCACAACGTGGCTTTTACTGTGTGCAATGTTCTCCTGGTTCTGCTCACTTCACTCAGCATCAGTCCATACAAGTCTTCCAGGTTTTTCTGAAGTCCACCTGCTCATCATTTCTTGTAGCACAATAGTATTCTGTTACATTCATATACCACAACTTGTTCAGCTATTCCCCGATTGATGGGCCTTCCTTTGATTTCCAATTCTTTGCCACCACAGAAAGAGCTGCTATAAACATTTTTGTACATGTGGGTCTCCTCAACAAGCATTTATCAAACACATTCTATGCATAAGGCCCTGTGCCAGGCACCAGAGAAACCAAAGAAGCAGAGGGTAAGTTAGAGCTTAATGGTCTTGTCTAAGGATGGGTATGTTGCCCTTTGGACTGGGCTTTATCTGTCAGTATTTTAGTAATAACTTGTGCCAATTGTTTCAGTACTTGAGATTGGACTTAAACTGAGCCAAGTTACTTGAATTCATCAAAGTCCACTTGGGGCTTGTTTATTTTAACTTTTAACTTATTTTTGAGCACCAACTTCCTGTTAGCTGCTGTTGTTGGGAGAAGGGGGATGGAATAACCATTTATATAATTATTTATGTTCTGGAACTATGTGAAATACGCTACAAATGCGATCTCATTTGAGTTTCACAACCACCCTGAGAAATAATTAATATTATCCTCATTTTATAGTTGAGGAAACTGAAGCAAAGGTTAAGTGACTTACCCAGGGTCACACTGCTAGGAAGTATCTGAGGATAGATTTGATCTCAGATCTTTCAGACTCCAAGCCAAGCATTCTATCCACTGAGTAACCTAGGTGTCTCATACCTAGATATCTTGCTGCATCATTTCTAGTACAGTGGTCATTCGCTTTGACAGAACAAAGTGACACACTGGGTAGGGGCTCAAGCTAAGCCTCTAAATAGTTATCACACCAGAAGAACATGTGGAACCTAAATGTAATGTAAAGCAATGCTACATTAGGTTGTACATCCTAATGTTAAATGTTTTTAAAAGTCCAATTTTTAAAATCAGCAGGTAAAACTGGCATGCTTAACATGGAGAAGAGACGATATGGAGACAATATAATGATCTTTAAGTGTTTCCATGACTGTCACAATGAAGAGAGCTTAGACTCATTCTGCTTTACTCCCAAGGGAGGAGCTAGGAGCAATGGATGAAGAATGCAGAAGGGTAGATCTAGGTTTGATGTAAAGAAAATTTCCCTAATGACTAGAACTATCCAAGAATGTAATAGGCTGACTCATAATGCAGTGCATTATTCCTCACTAGAGGTCTTCAAGTGGAGACTAAATGACAATCTATTTCTGATGTTGTAAAAGGGATTCTTTGTTAGACTAGATTCATCTGAGTCCTGTTCAGATTCTTGGGTTCTGTGATTCTGCAATATCTAGGAACTTGAAAATCTTCAAGCCTCATGCTGGCTTTTATCTACATGTGCTCCCAAACATCTATGCTGTAGAAACAACTTCTGAACCTCAATTCATGAAGAAGAAATATGGAAATAAAAACAGCATAGGTAATCAAAATTCATTGATGATGCCCTGGAATCTATTTTTTTCCTCAACTACTCTGTTTTATTCTTCCCTATCATTCTGGAAAATTAGTGACATTGAGTTCAACTGCTGGATTTGAGTTACAATCCATTCCATTCTTCCTGCCCACTACTTGTAGGGGCCTAGCAGGAAGAATAAAAGCCAAGCCTGCATGTATCAATGAATATTTCTTGGAGCTATTGTGGCTGTCCCTAAAGCCTGGACCTGAAAACATTTGGGAAGATGGATTCATTTTTCTTTATTCCTCTGGTTGAGCTCTGAAACCCTCCCTCACAAATCCTCTTTTCTTTTTTCATACAATCAGAGTAGGGAGTTGTCTGAACCTATTTTAAAAAGTGGAGGAAAGTCAATGTAATGACCACTTGCTTTTCTTAAGGTATGTCAAATAATGAGTTTGAAATTTTCATTGGTTCATAATTGAGATGATCAATTTAATAGTCATGGTGATCTGTATGTGTTGTCACAGCATCTGCACACAAATTGATGTAAAGCAGACATTGTTGGAAGCTCAAATAAATTCAAATGGAAACCATGAAAATGAAGGAAGGGCAGAGCCATCATTTTAAAGGCCCATTCCACTCCATTCCACTCTCATCTTCTGTCTCTTGGAGCAGATATATTAGTGAACATTGCATGGCATGGTGGAAAGGAACCAGATTTTATGTTAGAGGAGGTGCTTGATTTATTCATTAAAAAAATGAAAAAAGATTGAAAAAAAAGTGTTAGGTTTTAATACTTTCTTCTGTGCTTATTAGATATATTACCTTAAGCCAGTTACTTAACCTTTCTTAGGCTCAGAGTTCTTCATCTGTAAAATAGAATGAGAATTATTATTAAAAGTAATAGGAGGGACTATAAAAGAGTTAGCTTTCTGTGTACATGTAGATTCCTTATTATGTTGATTTGTATACTCTAATAAAGGACAATAAAGCCATATATTTAGTATGAACAAAAATGCTGATTTCTGAACAAAAAGTCTTGTAAAAATTACTTCTGCTTAGGAAATAATAGTTTACTGTGGGTGAGTATTGGATGTTCCAATGAATATCACAAGAAATATATTCAAATGATCAACATAGTCCATTCCTTCCAACTTTGCCCATTGCAGTAATGTACACATGCATTGTTCCAAGGGAAATAAGTATAACCAATTGAGTTATTATTCTAAAATATGATCAACATTCTCTATATTTGAATTCTTCATGCAAGAGAATAGTAATAACTTACATTTTATAGCACCTCAGGGTTTGCAAGACTGTCTTTACAGCAAAGTATCCTCATTTTACTAAAAAAGAAAGTGAACTGCTAAGTCACTCATTTGTGATCACAGAACCAATAAATGTCTGAACAGGGATTTAGAACCAAGTATTCTCACTCCAAGTTTAGCACTTCTTTATGCTTGTTGGTACAAGCTAATATGAAATGTTGTAAATTTAAGGAATTCTAAATGTTGTGATATTAGACTAAAGAAAAATACAATAAAAACTCTCCTTTGTTGATTCTATGACAAAATGAAAAAGATAGCTCATGGGAATGGAGACACTGTTCTTCTTTATTTTTATTTATTTATTTTTTTAATTTTTAGGCAATTGGGGTTAAGTGACTTGCCCAGGGTCACACAGCTAGTAAGTGTCAAGTGTTTGGTGGAAGGCCAGATTTGAACTCAAGTCGTCCTGACTTCAGGGCTGGTGCTTTATCCACTGTGCCACCTAGCTGCTCCCAGAAACATTGTTTTTGAAGGAAAAATCTTGATTCTCAGGTTTGCTGGTAGTGGGGAGATATCTAGGTAGTGACAGAAACTGCTAGGCATTTTCTATTTGGGGACTTCTTTGATCTCATATAATGCAGTAAGTAAGATAAACTAATTGAGAAACCATGTTTCATTTCACCAGGAGTATATTGTGTTTAGCTTATGTGAGAGGTTGAGATAATTAAATCAGAGGCTTAAAGTGATGTCTAGCACTGGTTTGGACTCTGGTGGGAGCCACAATGAAGGTTAAATTATGTACACTGCAAGACTATTTGTGGGAGATCATATGTTTAGTCAAAAATTCTAGTCTTCTTTTCCTGTGTAAAAGTTTTTGTTTGTTTTTTTGTGAGGCAATTGGGGTTAAATGACTTGCCCAGAGTCACACAGCTAGTAAATATTATGTGTCTGAGGTCACATTTGAACTCAGATCCTTCTAACTCCAGGGCTAGTGTTCTATTTACCACACCACCTGGCTTCCCCTCCTGTGTAAATGTTGCCATCTAAACCAACAAAGAAGCTTTAAGGAGTATGGTCCAGGATACTAGCCAAGGTGGGGCTTTGTACTCCAAGTTGTAATGCTATTTAGGAACTGAGTTAAACTGTGATTCTTATTCCTCTCTTCTCCCCAGAGAATTATGTAGAAGGTAGAATTATGACCCTAAAGAATTGGGGAAAATGTTGGTTATGTTTGCTCTTGCTGGATCTCAGAAGTAAATAATCCTTTGTAAAAGCTAATCTTTTGCCAAGTTGTTAAATGGAATGAAAGTACAAGTCACTGGGCCACTGAAAAAGGAGGGACATACTCAGTGGGAGCTTAAGCCAATGACAGGAGAATGGAGACTTCCCTAAACCCCTCAAAGTATAGGAGAATATGTGTGTGTGTGTGTGTGTGTGTGTGTGTGTGTGTGTTTGTATGTATGAAATCTAACATACCTGGCCGTTAGAGAAATGGGCCAGAGTATACTTGTATTTCGTGTGGAGGCTCACCTGGGATAACATTGAGTCCTTCATGTTTTCAAGGACATTTGGAGAAATTCTCTACTTCGGACTTAAATTTTAGAAACCCCAAGTTTGCAAGATCTAGAGAAATTGTCAAAAGAAAATTTATTAGGACATAATTTTGCAGATGAACTTTTTTTTCTGGTATATGTTTTCCCACAAACCAGTTCTAATGATGTAATTTTGTAAATTTTGCATTTGTTGATTCCTTGGTTTCAATACTGACACTTGCTGTATTTGTTGAATCCTGTATAAGTTATGTTATTGAATATAACATGAGAAATACAGGATTTACATCACTAGATACTACTGCTTAGTAGAAATGTTCACTGCCCTTGCATTTAGCAGACATAAACTGTTTACCTTTTGTGAGAGCAATATACCCTACAGCTTGTTGGGGTAAGTTTTGCTTGTGCCTAGAATCCACGAGTAGTTAACTTTCTTTACTACTACTCTAACTGAGCTTGCATCTCCATTTGTCCCATCTGGTCAGTTTGCAATTATATTTGGATTACCCTTGTAGTGGCAGACATTCATTAGGGGAACTTTTTGGAATAAAGATCCAGAGAAAAATTTTCTGGACCTCTAATGGGATCACTTTTGACACAAGGACCTCTAGAAAATTTTGGTGTGCCCTATATAGACAGGGACATTTAAAAATATTGCCCAGATATCAACTAGATGGCTTAAGGCAATGAGAGAGTTGAAGAAGGCTTTCTACCCAGGACAGTTTTCTAATTTAAGATGTGTGAGTTACTTAGTCAATGACCATTTATTAAATGCCTACTATGTGTCAGGAGTTGTGCTAAGCATTGGGTGACACCCAGTTAAGCTTGTGAGGGAGAGCTCCATAAAGTTTTGAAAGCTCAATGTGGACCAGACTTCCGTCTGTGACAGGAGTACAGTTTTCTTTGCCTTCATTTTTTTTTTGGTTGTTGTTTTTTTGTTTTGTTTTGTTCTATTTTTTGCTTGGGGATTAAGACCAGTTGGATACCAAGAAATTTATCTGTTGAATACTCAATAAGTAGTAATCCTTGATAAATATTGTGAAATACTCATTATGAAATCTGCAAAACTGTGAATTTAGAGATAATTGTGATTTTTATCTGCTCATGTGGAACTCTATAATGTCATGTAACATTAACTATTTGGAGACTTTCCTATATGGAGCTGGGGAAGTGAGCAAAAGGGCAGTGCTTATACCTCCTCAGAAACCTCAGAGGACTGTTTTCAATTGGGAACACAGACAATGTGTTAAAAATGCAACACTATCTATTTGCTGGACACTGTAAAATTTTCAAATGGGAGGAGGGAAGAGTATAAAGGAGGTTTGGGTCATGCCCTGATCACCTAAGATGGAGCCATCCATATGGAACACATTGTAGACCTGCTTCTGGGATGTAGGAGAACTGGAACTCAAGTGAACATTCTCATGTGACAGTTGGAAACAGCTTCTTCCCAATGCCTACATACATACACACACACTCACATGCCTCTTTGTGTCTGGTGGTGGCCATATCTAGGGTGGGGGGGTAGGGGAAAGGGAAGAAAAAAAGAAATTTACATGATAATTTTATTGTATATCTGAAAGGAATAGCAAGTTATGCACAGTAGATTTGCAGTTTAATGTGCAATTATCTTTTTTATTGTACTATGTTATGAAAATGCTTATTTTATTTCATAAATTAAAGCTTTTCTGACTTGACTAAAGAAAGCTTTTCTCTTTTCTGGCATTAGCACGTAGGAGTGAAGGACTCATTCACTCATATTAGGGGATACCATGCAGTAAAAAGGCAAATATCTACAGGCCACCTCTTTCTTCTCCCCCATTAGTTCACGAGGCCCTGAGACACAGGTTTGAAATTTTAATCTGTTTCATTTTCAGTTCTACCTGCACAGTAAAGTCCCCAATCCAGGAACTTGAGTCATGGGCATCTTGGATAGGTGTTGCTGACATTCCAGCAGGAAAGCTTTTAGGAGCAATAGTCCTGGATACTATCCAATTGAGGTTTCAGACTTAAGCTTGGAGGTATTAATACCATGTAGGAACTGAGTTTAGCTGTGAAACTTCCCTCCTCAGAGACCAAAATGGCATAGGGCTATCATGCCCCAAGCTGTATTTATGTTTATTCTTGTTACGCCTTTGAAGTCAATATTCCTTTTTAAAATTGATGGGATGTTAAATGGATGATGGAAACCATGATAGCAAAGGTACTTGAAATAATGTCATAGAAAGAGTGGTTAAAAGAACTAGGAGTATTATTTCTGGAAAAAAAGAAAGACATAGGGGGTGCGCAAACACTGTTGTCAAGTATCTGAAGGCCTATCAAATGGAGGAGGGCTTAGACTTCTGAGTGTCCATAAAAAGGAACAGGATCAATGAGGGCTTGAGTGAGTGAGAGAGAAGAGAGGCCCTCTCCAATTCCCTAGGAGTATGGGAGAACCTGGGGAAAGGGGGAATTTAACACATCTGGCCTCACAGAGTGAGGCCAGAGAAATCTATGTTTACATATGTGTAGTTCTATCTACAATAGTCTCTCCTATGAGACAGACCTTCAAATATTTGACAACACAACAATCTTTTCTTCTCTCTTCCAGGAATAATATCCTTAACCCCTTTAACTGTTCTTTCTATGACAAGGGTTCAAGTTCCCTCACTATCAGGGTCTCTATACTTCAGTTTCTCAATGTCCTTCTTAAAATGTGGTTCCTAGAAGTTTAGTGAGTCCCTGATTAAACTATGTGATAAAGAAAAGTGAGATAAGTGAACAGATCCAGAGCCTTGACTCAGAGGGCTTTTGTATGGTACAAGGGTAGGAGTGGATCATTAATAATGTATGTCTCCATGGCCCTTTCTTCTAGAACTTTTGAAAGACTTTGAACTGCTACAGCTGCCCATTCAAGCACCCTTCTTTGTCAAATCAATGAACTTTTATTATGTATTTATTATGTACTTGGCACGATGTTAAATGCTGGGAGTACAACCAGGCAAATACACAGTCCCTACTCTCAAGGAGCTCACATTCTAATGAGGTAGACAATATGCAAATAAATGTAACTTGAATTTCAAGCCTAGATCATTTGCATAAGGCTTTCCTCATTGGTGGAGAGAATGATGACTCAAAATTTGCACAATTCTGTATATTTAAGGTACATGCAGAGTAGCTGGAAAGTAACTTCAGTGGGAAAGAACTAGCAGGGGGTGGCACTAGTGAAGTAAATGCACTTTCAAGATAAAATAGCAAACGTGCCTGCCTTGATGCTAGGATTTAGCACAGACTGCAGCTGCCTATGGATCACTGTGCCTCCACAGCACAGAAGTAGGTGGCTGAGTCTCTGGTCTGGGCAGCTGAGATGCTCAGGGAACTGTGACGTCCCTTAGTGCTGAGCGTGGCTTTTAATCTTCCTTCCTGTTTCTCATCCCCGTCTAAAACCATTATAAACAGGACTGTTGGACCCGTCCCAGGATTGTGTCTGTACCATTGTAGGCTATTTATAGAGGTCGTGTAAGTGCAGTTCAAAGTGGTGCTTTCTCCGACCTTGAGGCTTAGGGTTGCAGGACTCTGTTCCACCACTTGGCCACTCACCCCTGTTCAGAAAAACAACATTTAATACAGGATAATAGGCAAGAGATTATCACTGTCCATAATTCACGTGCTCTTTCTACAATCAACGATCAAATGAAATTATATTTGTGAAGCACTCAGCACCATGCCTGGTACATCGTAGGTACTTAATAACAGTTCACCCCATTCCCTTTCTCTATTTCCCCAATCTCCACCCCAATTTTCCTCCTCAATCTTCCAGTGAAGCCTAATTTTCTCTAAAAGTATCTTGGTGAATATTCCTTGGATCCCCCTATTCCCATGCCAAGAAATTCCAAACTCACAGCCAGGCTGAAGCCACAAGATCAGTAATGAAGTTGCCAGAGGTCCCATTATTCCTTCTGCCCAGGCTCAGTGAGGAGTCAAATTTAGTACCTGAGGTGCCGTCAAGTTTCTTCAGTCAAATGAACTGCTTCTGATTTCTAGTTCTTCCATTCCCTGAAATAGCAGGGGGCTTAAAGTAACTGTCCAGCCAATAAGAGGGTAACTCTTCTCACGGCTCCTGGAGTGATGCATCTCCTAAAGTCGATGAGCAGCAATGTCATGACTGCCATCTTGTGACCATATTCCATATTGCTCGTCATTTTCATCCTCAAACATTTACTGACATGGTCAGGCATGAAATGTTCTCCATGTACATCTCTATTCAATTGGCACACAAGTCTATCCTGACTAGCAAAGTCATGACACAATAACGTGTTTCCTTTGTGTCTATCTGAAGGTCAACGTATTTGCATTGGAAGAGCCCCTTAACTAGTCCCGCCTACCTACTCTCTCTTTCCAACCCATTTTCCACACCGCTGTCCAACTGATATTCCTGAATCACAGATATAACCATGTTAGCCCTTGCTTAAAAACCTCCAGTAGCTCCCTATTCCCTCTAGGAAAAAATGCAAACTCCTAGCCTGTTAGTTGAAACCCTCCACAATATAATTGCTACCTGCTCTTCTGGTCTTCTTTCATATGATTTTCTTCCATGTGCTTCCTGTCCCTATCAAACTGTCCTGTCAACTATTCCTCATACACTACATTCCATCTCTAAACCTCCTGCCTTTGCCCAAGTGGTACTTAATGTGTGAAATGCATTTCTCCCCCACCCTTGCATCTTGAAATGCCTATCTTCCTTCAAGTCCTAGCTTAGGTGATATCTCTTACCTAAAGCCTTTTTTCGATCATCCCAGCTCTTAATCCCCTTTCCTCCCAGAATTTCCTTTTTATTGTTTTACATGTACTTTGTATTTACTTATCTAGATATATGCTCCTTGCCCCACTCCCACCCTGCCCCAATCTGTCTTCAGTAAAATATATGCTCCTTGAGGACAGATTGGTTGTGCTTTTGTCTTTGTATTCCCAATATCGAGTACAGTCCTTTGCACCTGCTTCTAGCCCAATCCCTGCAGTCATCTTTGAGAGGAGCAATCACTGTGAAGAAAGGATCCAAAGTCACTACCACCAATAATATCAGCCACTGACCATCTGCTACCAATGGGCAGATAGGCCCTGGGAAAGGGCCCCACAGATCACTTGTCCTGTCTAGCCTTGCTCCCATAGCCATCATCCTGGGAAGCAAGCCCTGTGGAGGTGCAGCCTGGCAACTGTTTCTGCAGGTGCTGAAGCCACCTCAATGACCACAGCTACTAAAGACCCAGAAAAAAAAAATTCTCACCACCATGGTCCTTGGCAAAATCAAATGGTTCAACATCAGAAACAGGTGTGATTTTAGCAATGGAAATGACAAAGAATTCTGCTTTGCTGCTTTATCCCAAGGACCAGGGGACCTTGCTATCTGATTTGCAACAGAGCTCTCCTACGGGTGGTCTCCTCATTAGAACATGAGCTCATTGAGAGCAGGGACTGTCTCCTGCTTTCCCATTTGTATCTGCAGGACTCAACACAGAATAAGTACTTAACCAATGCATTTGTTTGTTTGTTTCCCATTCAAAGGGAAGTAACATGCATTTTTTCCTGGCTAAAATTCAAACGTTCATAGTGAAGCAATGAGTCAGTCAGTGATAGAAGCAGAAGGGACTTCAGCCATGATGAAGTTCAATTCAATTTTACAGCTAAGAAAACTGAGGGCCCAAATAGCTAAGTGACTTGCCTAAGGCCACAAAAGTAGTAAACACTAGAAATTGGATTTGAACCCGGGACTCTTAACTCCCAAGTCAGCACACTTACTCTTAAACCACACTGACCTCTATTACCTGATCCTACTTTTATCCTTTTTAAAGACAGAGTAGCAGTTGGCACAGTGGATAGAGCACTAGGCCTGGAGTCAGGAAAACTCATCTTCCTGAGTTCAAATCCAGCCTCAGACACTAACTAGCTGTGCAACCTTAACTATGCTTGCCTCAGTTTCCTCATCTGTAAAATGAGCTGGAGAAGAAAATGGCAAACCACACCAGTATCTGCCAAGAAAACCCCAAATGAGGTCATGAAGGGTCAGACACGACTGAACAACAATAAAAGTAGGGCCAAAATGTCTAAAGCTATTGACTTTAGAGGACAGTATTTGAAAGTTAGGCTGATTTCAAGAGGTGGAGATGAGAACATCAAGGTAGCAAAGTGGGTTGAGTGCTAGAATTGGAGTCAGGAAGACCTGAGTTCAAATTCTGACTCAACCATTTACTAGCTGTGACCTTGGTCAAGTTACTTAACTTCTCAGACTCAATTTTCTTAACTGTAAAATGGAGATAATAATAGCAACTACTTCCAGGGTTGTTGTGAGGATCAAACGAAATAACATGTTCAAATGCTTTGCAAACCTTAAGCCAATATGAAATTACTGTGATGAGGATGAAGACGGTGATGATAAGATGGGAATGGAGAGGTATTCAAGGTATATGCAACTTTGTGAAGAGATGCTTAGCAATGGGAAAACCCAGGATGTCAAGGAGACCAACTTTATTAGAGTATGAGCAGGGATGGGGAACCTGCAGCCATGAGGCCATATGTGGCCTTCTGGGTCCTCAGGTGCAGCCTTTTGGCTGAGTCCAAGTTTTACAGAGCAAATCCTTTCATTAAAGGGATTTGTTCTTTGAAGTTTGGATTCAGTCAAAGGGCCACACTTGAGGACCTAGAGGGTTTCATGTGGCCTTGAGGCCCCAGGTTCACACCCCCCCTCCCGCCTTCCCTCCCTGTAGAGTATATAATGATAGCAGTAATGATGATAAGGCAGTTTAGGCATTCACAAGGATTTCTCTGACTAATCAGTCCATGTGGATTTTCCCATTTCTTTAGACTCTTGTAACATTTTTTATTTGCTTTAATAATTTTGATACCTACCTTACCGATGATCGATTTCACACATGTTTATCTTCTCTCTCTTACTTGACTGTGAATTCTTGAAGGTCTGGGATGACTTCCTTTCTGTGTTTTGTTCTTTTGCTATCTTGGTGCAGCACTCTCAGACAGTGCTATGCATACAAAAGGAAGGAGACAAACGCTTCTTGGCTAAATGGCAGCCTGGTGTCATGGCTGAAGTGTGGGACTTGGTGTAGGGAAGGTCAGTGATGAATGCCACCTCTCTCGTTTATTATACTTGTGGTCCTGGGCAAGCCATTTAATCTTTCTGAATCTTTGCTTCTTCCTCTGTAAAGTGAGGAAGGGGGTGGACTTGATGACCTCCAAAGACTTTTTCAGCTCTAAATCTATGACCTTGTAAATTAATTTGAATCTTACATGCTCCCTTGCTTCAAGATGCTTTTCACTTCATTCTGACCTGTGAAGCTCATGAAAGAAATAACGTAAGGAGTTATAATTCTTACTTTTTTTCTGTAACAGATCTGTGGTTTTACCAGACATTTTTCTTTGGCCAGAACCTATGAGAGGCTCTGTGGTATAGGGAATAGAGAGACTTGGTCTCAGAGTCAAGAAGATAGGGATTCAAATACTAACTGTGTGTCTCTGGGTAAGACACCTATGTGTCAGTGCTCCAGGTGACTTTCCATGATTACAAGTCGCAGAGAAGATGCCCTGAGCAATTAACTGGTAGAAGAAAATCCTCCCTAGGAGCTCCCAATATTGATAAAATGAAATAATTCCTACACATGGGACCTAAATGTGACTTTTGAAAGAGTATAATGAGAACAATAATTCATAAGCAATAGAGCTGGAAGGGACAAAGAGGTCACTATTTCAATCCCCTTATTCTACAGATGAAGAAAGTGAGACCCAGAGGAATGACTTGCCTAAGGTTACACGAGAGTTAGTGAGAGAGCTGGGATCCAAACCCGGGCAATCAGTGCTTTTTCTACTATCCTATGGAACCAATTTAACTAACATTTACTTAATGCATATTAGATGGTCATGTGAGATGGACCAGGTAAATTCTATTATGAATGATGAGAAGAAATTGTGACCTTAGATATAAACTTTAAAGAGGCATAAGGGATTTATGTGAATTCAATGATAAATCGCTCTATCTAGAGAATGTGAAGGAGGCATATAATGTAAAATATATGGTATAAGTTCATCTCAGTTTGAGAGTTGAAAGTTGGAGCTGCATATCTGTGAACTGGAGAGAGCAGGAAACCTCTTTATAGATTATTCCCTAGGGTAGGTTAGAAAAAAAAAAGAGAGTCCAATCAGAAGTACCTTTGCCATGAACTTCATGGTAGGCCATATATCTTTGTGAAGGGTTGGTCTTTCATGCAAGCCCGGGTCATTTTTCCAAGACAAAAAAAAAAAAAAGATAAGCAAAAAAAGAAAAGATAAGCACAGAGGGATCCTTGTTGTTGTTTTTATGTTGTCCTGAGTCTAGGTGGGCACACCAAGAGAACTTTTTTTTATCATGATTTGAAATCTGAATTTGGGATCAAGGTCTTTTATGAACTAAACTTGTTGCCTAGTGACATACTTCAAACCACTACTTAAAGTGGGCAAGAAGCAAAAATTAGTATGGCTCATGCTCTTCAATGCTGTGCTTAACCAACCAGGGTCAGCTAGATGGCACAGTGGATAGAATACTGGCCTTGGAATCAGGAAGACTCTTCTTCCTGAGTTCAAATCTGGTCTCAGACACTTACTAGCCATGTGACCCTGGGCAAGTCACTTACCCTTGTTTGCCTCAGTTTCCTCATCTGTAACATGAGTTGGAAAAGGAAATGGCAAACTGCTCCAATATCTTTGTCAAGAAAACCCCAACTGGGGTCATGAAGAGTCAGATTGGATTGAAAAAATGACTGAACAACAAATGAAAATAATCAACCACAGGAGTTTGGGGATTACAAAGCTGAGCAATCATCCCAATGACTTGACCTAAAGGAGATATCTCACTCAGAGAAGGGACCTCAGAAGACTGAGAATGTCTTCAGGTCATACATTTATGAAGTCTTCTTCTGGCGTATTGAGATTATTGGAGACTTAGCTATTTATCAGAACAGGAAGAAGATCATAATCTGATAGATTTAGAGCTTGAAGGGACCACAGTCACGTGGCCCAACTCCCTCACTTAACAGACAAAGAAACTGAAGTC